CTTGGCACCGTGAGAGGGGCCGGGGAGGCGGGGGGAGGGGCGGCCCGTGCGCAGGGCCGGGGGGAGGGGAGGGAGAGGTGGGGCGGGGCGGCTGCGGCTCACGACAGCAACCAGCGCCGCCGCGGGGCTAGCGGGAGCCGGGGGCTGGGCCGACCACGCGCGGGGCACCACGGGAGCGGGAGTCCGAAACCAGTCGGCCGTCACCCTTAGACCGCGCCTGAAGAGCATAGACCCCGCGTTGCGGCCCGAGAGGGGTAAGGCGCAGGGGCCCCCGGGAAATGTAGTCCGGACGCTTCGCTCCTTCCGCCGGGAGCTAGGGCCGCGAGAGCTGGGACTATAGTTCAGAAAGCCATCTCCGGCGCTGCCGGGAAGTGTGGTTCTCGCCGCAGACCCCTCCCATGGTTTCTGTAGAGGCCAGCGGCACGCTCGAACTACCACTCCCAGGGTGCAGTGGCTGCGGACCCTGGGAAATCCCAAAGACACTGGGAAATGAAGTTTGCGACTGCAAGAGGCGTGGGCTGCTAAAGGGGCCGCGGCAAAGGATTAGTGTCAGAGGTGCGACCCGGCGGTCGTTCTGCGCAGCATGGAGGGAAGGTGCTTGAGAGACCCCGGCTTTGCAGACCCTGTGCTCAAGGAGTGGAGGCGGGTGGCGGAAAGCAGGGTAGAGCACGCGTTCCTCGAGCCGTGGACTGGGGGTCCCAGACTCAGACCCTGCGCGCCGTTGCTTGCTGTGGAAGGGGCGAATAACTTGGTGTCTCACAGGCTTCCCCCACAGGGCTTGCTGCTAAGTCAGCCTGGACTTCGCGGCCCTCGCGGGCCCCTACCTCTGGGGGAGGACTGATAGACCCGGGAGATGGAGGTGCTCCCCGCCCCGCCCCGCTGACAGTGGATGCTCGGCCACCAGGGGCCGCTACAGGACAAGAGGCAAGGCTGTCCTTCCCTCTCCCCTGCGCACAGACTGAAGTCTGGACTCGGCTTGTCCTGAGAGGAGGGCACAGGAAAACTCTTTCTTTTGGTGATGAGATCGCCAGTCCCCCACAGTTAATTTTCACTCGTGCAGACTTCACTTCCCACACCCCACACGGACTCGCTTGCCCAGGCTCATAGGGCCAGCGGTCATCTGGGAGAAGGTCTCGGCGCCCTTGCTGCAGTGCTTCTTGGAGCCAAATGTGCTACGCTGCCGTACCTGCGGTGCTGGGTCAGAAGCCTATCCAGCCCGGCGGCCCGTCTTTCATTATTTAATTTTATTGTTGGATGAAGCCAGAGAAGGTACCGACACCGTCAGGTGGTGGAGGAAGGGGATCTACAGGGAGAAGTCGAGGCCCGGGATGGCCTTGAAGAGGAGGAGTAGAGGAATGTGGAGCGAATGGTCCATCCAGGTGGGAGCTGGCTGGGCGAGTGGCCGCGCATGTGCGCCTGCATGGAGGCTAGGCTGGGGCAGCCCGCCCGGCACAGAGGGCAGCGGTAGGGTGCGACCCCATGCGTCCGCAGGTGTTTGGTCATGGCTGAGAAGTCCCGGGAGCGCTGGGGACATAGGCTGCAGGAAAAGGGCTTCTCTCCTAGGGCAAGTGGAGGGGGAGGGCGGTGAAGGAAAGAAGGGGCGGAGGCTGGCCTAGGGGGTGATCTGGGCAACTGGACAAAGGAATTGTGTGGGAGCCAAGCAACCGGTGAAGGACTCAGGGACAGACTGGAGTTTGTAAGGGAGCAGATAATTCACCGAGGGCGGGGGGCCCATACCTGTGTGGACTCGGTAGTGTGTCTCCATCTGATGCTTGAGTGTGAACCTCTTTCCACAGACAGAACAAGAATAGGGCCGAGACCGAGCAGGAGGGGGTGGGGGAGGTTGTTGGCGAGGCGGGCCTGCTGTGCTCACCTGACTCACACAGGTTGCAAGTGCACCTGTGGGGACAGAAAAGGCATGGCTGGGAATCCCAGAGCTGGATCACTGGTACTCCCAGGCAAGACATCAGGAGGTACAGTGGGACTGAAGGCAAAGGTGCCCTCACCCTACTCACCTGTGTGCTTCTGATTACAGTCTTCCATGTCCCCAGGGCTGAGCTTTTCGGAGCCCTGGGGGAGGGAACCTGGAGAGAGCAGAGTGAAGTTGGTGCCCTACTCAAGCTGGACTTCTGGAGCCCCAGCCTCAGGAGAGAGAGCATGTTATAATATTTGTACAGGTCACTGAGGGGCTTACCTGGGGCAGGACTGGAGGAGGCCAACTGGCTGTGGTTCCAGAGACCTTTCTCAGGGTTCAGGGACAGTGGGATCCTGGGGATGGGGTGGGGAAGAGTTAGCCTTGGCAAAACCTGGCCAAACCCATCCTGGGGAGAGAGGAGTCCGGAGTCCTCCTCAGGGGCTCGGCTTTGACTTCCCCTGTGATGAAAGCTTCTTGTCCTATCACCAGCTCAGGAAATGTACAGTAGAGATAAGAGATGTGGTACCCCTTCCACCCATCACTGTCTGCCTATCCTGAGCCACTCCCTCCCAGCCAGGGAGGTCTTCCACTAGGCTCTTCACTCACCTCTGGTCCTGAGGCCAGACCTCCTGCCAGGCTCCAGTGATGGGGGTGCTATGAGAGAAGGGAGTGCCATATCTGGGTGGCAACAGCAGGATGCTCCACAGGGCAGGCTGGCCCTCCCTGAACCAAGGGGTCTCAGCCCACCAGGGCCTAGGAATGACGCTGTTTTGGAGGGAGCCTGGTGGGGGAAGGGGGCCAGGGAACTCCCGAAGTCTTTCATCAGAACTCCCTGGGCTCTCTGTCACCCACATAATCACTTCTTGCTTTCCATCTATTCCCCCATGGCCAAGAGGGGATTGCTTGAGTTTCTCCTTTGATCTCATCTCCTCCCCTTCACTCTCCTGCAGTGGTTCTGCTCTCTCAGGGCTCTCTCTTGGTGGCCTTTGCTCATGCAGTGTCTCCCATTCTATTCTACGAGCACTAACACATTTTTCTGGTCTCTGCTCTCCATGTCCCCCCAGTCCTCTTTCAGAATCCCTTGTGGGTTTCTCTGGCTCCTCCTGATGTTCCCTCAGCCCTGGACCCAGCTCTCTAACCCCATCCCATCGAGCCCTCCTGCATGCGTCTTCCAGGGACTGCACCCCCAAGGCCCTGGCCGCTTCCTCAAGGGGCCCCAGTTCCCCCGGCTGCAGCTCTACAGTCTCCCCATAAACAAAGTACAGAAGCTGGGCAAAGGTAGAAGGGCTGATGCCTTTCACCAGAGCCCAGCGGCCCCTACGGCCCAGCTGCTGGCTCGCACCTGCCAGCACCAGGCTGTGGGCAGGGAATTCCTGGCTCCCCACAGTGATCAGGGTATCACATAATGCTGGCCGGAGCCTGGCTGCTAGCCGTACCAGCCGATCAGAGCTGTAGGGGCTAGGCAGTCTTGTCCGGAACAAGGGCATCGTGCCTTGCCTGGGTACCAATCTCAGAGGATCTGAAAGAAAGGCCACAGTGTGGGGTCCATGGTGGAAAGGGAAGAGAGCAACGGCATATTCTCAAGCCTGTGGAGGTGAGGGGAGAAAGAGTGAGTTGCAGGTTCAGAGCTCTCTGTGTCCTGAATGAGGCACATAAACTAACCCAAGAGAGGATCTGAGCTTACCTAGAATCATAACAGACCAGGGGGTAGGGATGAGGGTGGGGATGGCAGGAGAATGGAAATTAGACCAAATTCGGGACTTAAAAGAGTAAGGACCAAGCAGTTAGCAACCATATCAAATGGTGGGTTTAAGGCTGGTGTAAGATGGGTCCAGTCAGTTAGCAGTCTCTGACTTAAAAGATAGCAGAGGTTGATACTTATGCTACTCCAAGCCTTTCTGTGGGGAAAGACCTTGGAGCAGGCCAGGCTGTCTTCTTTCCAGACAAAGAAATTACCATAAGACCCAGTCAGCCCTGGCAATTAGGGATGGAGCACGACACTGCTTCACGGGAGAGTTTAGAAAGCTAGCGTGCCACCCCCTCACCCCCACCCCAAGCCCATCACATGAAGTTGAGTAGTCCTGAGAGGCAGAAAGGGCAGCAAGACTGAGGTCATAGCTGCAGAAGGGCATGCTCAAAGGCATCAATAGATTATCTCCCTGTGGCTGAAACTTCTAGAACATGTCCTCAGAGAAGGACCTAGAAGAGACCAAAGAATCCCCTCCAGTGGGTTGAGAGAACAGGTGCACAAGCCACAGAAGAGATGGTTCCCAACTCAAGGATGGAGAGAGATTTTGGAGAAGGTTTTGACCCCTGAGGAAGTGGGAGAAAGGGAAATGGGAACGGTAGAGGGGGAGGTATTTCCTTTCCAGATTAGGGTAGGGAGATGGTTTAATTTTGTTTCCCACAAACCAAAAGCAAGGAATAGATAGAGTCCAAACAAGGTGGAAATTTATCACATATCAAAACTACCACGTTGGCTTTGAAGAAGAGAACTGGGAACTGAGATACTAAGAGATCAACAGACCTAAGTGTCTCAGCAGGCATATTCCTAAGTGTGGGCTCACTGTGAGTAAGGACCCTTATTGGGAGAATTACTGCTTGGACACCTCGGGGAGAAGGCTACTAATTGGCAAGAAGTGAACAGAAGAGGGGGTGTAATGGGAGGAAAGTCTCAGCTGGGGAGAAGCAACCACTCACCGGTTGTAGCTTCCTCCTGGACACCGCATGCTCTGAACTGCTGTTGGGGCTCCTGGGGCCCCCCTGGAGCTAGCCCCGCCCCTGACCTCACAGTCTTCCATTGGGTGTCCCAAGTACCAGTCTGCCACAGTCCCCCAAGGGGGTGTGGTTTTATAACCCTGGCTCTGCTTCACTCCCCTCTCCCCAGGATAGAACACCCTCTCTACTTCCAGATTCAAGACATTCTGGCTCCCTGTCTCCTTATTTCATTTGTGAACTTCTAGAGTCAAAGAAGTTCATCTGAGGGGTGCCTAGCTGGCTCAGTCGGTAGAGCATGCTACCCTGGATCTCTGGGTTGTAGGTTCGAGCCCTGTGTTGGGTGTAGAGAGTACTTTAAAAAAATCAAATAAAAATCTTTTTTTAAAAAAGTTCATTTGAGGCAACAAGGAGTTTGGAATAATCAGACCTGCATTTGAGTCTCATCTCTGCCATTTACTAGTTGAGTCACCTTGAGCAAGTCGCCTCTCTGAGCCTCAGTTACCTCATCCATGAAATAGGGATAACCTTTGCTTACCGCATTTGGAGGTGAGGATAAAGATAAAATGACATGATAAATGTGAAAGTGGTTTGTCAGTACATCACATCATTCAAATAGTATTAATTCTGCTACTGAGAAGCATCAGTAGAGCTCTAGCAGCTGGAAGCTGTTTCTACTACCTCAGAAATAAAAAGGGCTGAAACATCTGGATTCCAAGGAGAGAGTGAAAGAGGGCCAAAAGCATGCATCGTCCTTCCTTGCCTTGACTTAGTACTAGGGAAGCTTTAACTGCTCTGTGGAAATGACCCCTGTCATCTGGGCCACCACTGGGGACTGAATGTGCAAGTGACTCAGATTCTCCCATCAAGCTTTGAAGGGGGCAACCCCAGGAAGGGCCTGCGGTGGTCTTCGAAGAGAAAACTCCCTTTTCTTGGGTTGATGACAAATGACATTTCTCTGAAATCATAACCCTGGGGTTTCTTTCACTTCCTGCCAAAAGGGTCAAGCTCTCAGGAGATTTCCCCTGTTTTCACACTTTAGTGCTTGTTAACCTGGGGAAAGGAGGTCTGAGAGACTCAAATTTCTTTTTCTGTTTTTTATTATTCCATTATCTCCCATCCTGTGGCACATTTTTCATTCTTTCAACAAACGTAGAGAGATCATTTATGGTATGTGCCTGCTGCATCGTATATGCCCAGTAAATAACTGGAAGATGTGCAAGTCAGGCACTGGTAGGCTGCTCTGGTGACATGACAGAGTCTGGTTCCCCCTGGGCTTCTCCCTTAGATCCTCGTCCCCTCCTAGACCCAAATATTCTGTCTCTAAACTCATGTTTCCCTCTTTTGTTCAGGACCCCAAAATATTCAGACCAGCCTTCTACTTTCTCCCTCCAGACCAAACATACCTTCCCTCTACTTCTTGTTCTAGCTTGGGTGCAGGCAGATGTTAATCCTTTCTATACAGGCAGGGTGTGCCAATGGGTGAGGCTGGTGGAGGGCAATAATAGGGTGGGGAGAGGGGAAGATGAGTCAGAGTGAAAGGGAAAATGCAAATGGACAGGCTGTATTCATGTGCTACTCTGAACGTTAAATATTTTCCATTTCTGAGCTTTCTAACTCCTCATACCACCACACCCAGGGACTCCTTAGACACCCATATTAAAGACACTTGGCCTGAACATATAAAAGCACCAATCCCTGATATGTATGCATACAGAGAAAAACATCCTTTTTTCAACACAGAAATACAATCCCTGGAGATACGGAATAAGTGGGGAAAGCCATGAGAGAGAAACCCCACATGTAGAAGGAAGGTACAGGGGTCTGGACGATTACATCATCACCCCTTGCCTCCCAGCTCTACTTCATGGGCCTATGACTCAGCTCTCTCACTGGTATGATCTGCCCATTGATGATCAAGAATGTTGGAAACTGTGCTCAAAGGGCAGAATTCTGTGTAAGCCAATTGTAGCTGACGAGGAGTGTCAGCAGGCTTCCGGGAAACATGGAGGAGAAGGCGCAAGGAGATTCCCCATCCAGTGAACAAAAGCCCCCAAGAATGGGAAGCCTCATTTTGCCTCCCATCTGGTGTCTACCCGACCTAAGGATATCCTTTTAGAGACCGCCTCCTTAGAGGTATCTCCAGGGCCCTCTACACCTTAGCCCTTATGCTGGTGACACTTCAGGCCCTTCTCTCTACCTGCATTCTTGACTACACAGCCCAAGACTTCTTGCATTGAGCAGTAACAGCAGAAGCATGAATAAATTGCCTTTGACTTGGAAGGGTAGGGACACTGCTAACTGTCTATTTTTGAAAGGTCTCCCATCACAGTCTCAAAACTCTTGTCCAGCTTCCACTTCCCAGGTTGACTCTGTAGAAATCACTTGCAGTTGTCTTATGGGGTGGACACAGGAAACCATGAGTTTTGAGGACACAAACCTGCATCCTGGGAGAGGGTACAGTGAGTAGAAGAGATTAGGTAGGGCATAACTGGAAGGAAGTATGTGGGAAAATGAGGTATGATTTTTGCCTCTCAGTCCTAACACATTACTAACTAAAGTTTAAAATCTGATATTTTTTTATTCTCACTGATAGGCTTGATGATAAACTCCTTCATAAGCCCCTGCAGGTACAATCCAGCTTTATATAAAAATGTCAACACAGCAATACAGGTATGGATTCTCCTCAAATATAATTAAAGCTAAACCATCAGAATAGGCCAGTTAGAGGTATGATTACTTGTTTCATGAAAATGTTCTCTCTTTGTCTCACTTTTAAAAATTTTATTTATTTGTTTGTTTGTTTGTTTGTTTGTTTTAAGTAGGCTTCGTGCCCAGTGCAGAGCCCAACACAGGGCTTGAACTCACAACCCTGAGATCAAGACCTGAGCTGAGGTCAAGAGTCAGATGCTTAACTGACTGAGCCACCCTGGTTGCCCCTATCTCACTTATTTTAAATATTGAGTACCTCCAAAACCAAGGTAAACAAGATTCAAATTAGAAAAATTCTATGAACTTTCTACTCTCCAGGAACACAACTCTTTCTTCAAATTAAGGTGGTTAAACTCCCCCACAGCATTTCATACAGATTTAAGACCAATTATCTAAATCTTACATAAAATTTCAAATGCCCACTCTTTCTAGTTAAGTACATCCAATATATACCAGAGAAGAGACACCACGGAATAAATTAGTTTCTTTCTTCCTTCAAATCTATGTTTCATATAACTCAAGAACCAGATATAATCATAGCCAGTGAGCTGAATCTAGGCCATAGAGACCCTATCATAGTATATCTTTTGTGGATTAAGTGGAAAAGAACTAGACTAAAGTGAAAAAACAAAAACAAAAAAACTTAGGTTCCACTGCATCCTTCCTGTTGGATGGCCTTTGTTTTTTCAGCCCTAATATGGAGCTAACTCTTCTGAGACCCTCAACTTCCTCACAGGGGCTGTCTTCAAGACCAGAGCTGAATGCCAATATTTCCTTAAACCCAGGCAAAAGGCCCCACTCTGACCCCCTCTGGCTGTGTCCCTCGCCTTAGGCTAAGGATCCCAAGGACATCTAGGAAGACCCCACCTGGAACATATGTTCCTCCAATTCTAGGCCATGCTCTAGGAGTTTGGAACCCTGAACCTCCTCACCCAAATGGCCCACTTCTAGGACCTACATGGCCCTCAACCCCAGGTCTATACTCATGAGTGAATTGTGTGATTGATGTACACACCCCAGGCCCTGGTAGGTAGACTGAGCTCAGACATGCAGTCTAGTATATGAAATGCCTTGAAGTGTGTGCCAACACCAGGTTTGGGAAGAAAAGAAGACATCATTTCTAGTCTTGTCTGGTCCCTGTATATAATACAGCAGCCTACTTTATTCCAATGATTCTTAACCTCGTAAGTTAAGGGGGTCACCATTCCTTTTAAAATTGTAAGGTATGGAATCAACTGTTTACACTAGAAAATTGTAGATACTCGTACCATTTTGCATGTGAATGACAAGGGATTCACAGATTGCTCTGCGGTCAGTCCTTGGACAGGTTAGATGCTTCTTGCTCATCCGTGTGGCTGCCTTGCACCCCCTCCAATACAATATGCATACAGTTTTTCTTATGATTTCCAGGAGTTCAAACCCCCCTGAAATCCACTCATAGACCACTTCCTTGCATTCCCTCACCCAAGGTTTAAGAACTCTGGGTGTACATGAAAGCACTCTGAAAACTTTAATACCATGTAGAATTTGAACAGCTGAGTGAAATTAGATATAAACACCCTGCCCCGTAAGTATAAAAGATTTTCTGTAAAGACAACCTGGGTGATTTCCTAAGGAGCAGGATGTCTCACACACCTCTTTCTATGCTCCGGTACAATATCCATCTTCCTTATGCATCTGGCCTCATTTTTATAGCCTGGTATCTTCTGGGAATGACCAGAGTTTGGGGAAGAGTGGGGACAGGGAGCGAAAGGCTCTAAACGTTACCCAATCCTGTTTTTTTCCTAGAGACATCACATAGCAATAGTATCTCATGGAGGTCAAACAACGTATCTGAGATTCAGAAACTCCCTCCTCAAGAACCTCCGGAAGACCATGGGCCTAACCTCCTAGCCAGGTTGTCTAACCTGGACCCGGTACTGGAAAACCTGCCAACAGCACCTCAAGCTGGAGTCCAGAGACCCGAACTCTCCCCGCCGCGTCCCACCCCCCCCCACCCCCACCCCCCACCCCCGGCAAAGCCTTGCAACCACATATTCTCAGCACAGCCTGGATGCAATAGCCTTTGACAACTTCTCATCAGGCTTTCAACCCCGGCAACACTCACTCTCAGCCCAGGCTGGATCCAAAGACTCCAGAAAACCTCTCAAGTGTACATTAGTTTCATCTTTTGGCCAGTGACTCCCAACAACCTCTGGAGAGTCACAGGTCTCTCCTTCCAAGTCACCAGATCCAGACTCAGTCCAGAGACCTCAGACAACCTCTCACAGTTCAGAGGCCATACCTCATGGCCAATGACACCATGCAGAGCTCCAAAAGGCTTTCAACTGCCTCATAAGCTAGCCTCAGGGACCATGGACCAACTCATAGGGCATGTTGGCCTAGCCTCTGCCCAGCCTGGGTCCAAGGGTGCCCAGGAGGCCCCGTTCCCAGCCTCACCAGGGCAAAGGAAGTCTCCAGGGACTAAAGCCCTCAGTCCTCAATTCTTGACCCTCACAGCCACCACTCAAGCTCCCACACCCCAGCTTTTGCCTGGGTCAGCTCAGGCCTGAAGAAGTGTAAGAAAAACCATGGCACTCACTGACTCAGACCCTGTTCTTCTTCCCACAGCCTCACATACACTGAGGGCAGTGCAAGATCCAGTGTCCGTTAGAAAGTAAGGATGAGCGTGAGGCCAGGAGCTCGAAGCCTGGGCGCGTGCACAGCTCAGGAGCTCGAAGCCTGGGCGCGTGCACAGCTCGCTTGTCTCCCTGAGGCGGACGCTGATTGGCTGCAGTGTGGACCGCATCTACTGAGCATTCTCAACATCCTAGGCGGCACCTAGGACAGCTCCACTTGCTCCCTCCAGCCTCGCACCCACCGCTGATTGGCTGCGAAGCTCCCTCCCGCCCTGCTTGCTGTGCGGAGTGGCAGGGCTTTGAGTCTAATTGGTCCGCGGACTCAGGTTTCAGGTCTCTAAGACAGATCTTATCCTCTAGCCCGTCCCCCACCCCTTCTAATTGGCTGCGGAATTTGCTCTTCCTCCGTCCCCCTATGAAAAAACTAGGCCCCGAACCTCTTTCGCTAACAGCCTTGGAATCTTCCTCTGCAAGGGCTCAGGATACCACCAGTTCTTTGCTCCTGTCTTGCCAACGAGTGGCTCTCGTTGCAAACCCTTTCATCTCTCTCTCTCAACCCCTGACAGTCTATGAAATGTATGTCTGTGATTGGTTGGGAGGCCCTCAAGAGCCAGCCGGGATTCAGGTGCCTGTGGGCAGCTCCCCTTTCCTGCCTCTTGCCTTGCTTCACTACTGATTGGCTGCAGAACGCCCCCTGCCTCACCTGGACGTATGCGGGGGCAGGGAAGGCACCAGAGGGGCAGTGCCTTGACCCGTGATTGGTCAAATGCTCATTGCCTGTCAGCTGAGGCAGGGTTAACTGCGTACTTCACGTACCAGCCTCCCCTGACCGCCCCACAACCCCACCCCAGCCAACACACCAGAGAGAATGGCCCATTGCTTTGCCCCACCATTAAGTTGGTCAGAGCTAAGAGCCCAGCCAGCTGGCGTTCTACCCAGGAAGGGCTGTAGTGCTGACAGGCGACTAGCGCGAACGGCGCCAGTCCGAGAGCACTACTTGCCTCTCTCCTTCCATGAGCTCGGCTGCGGTTGCACTGCTGATTGGCTGGCTCCACTCTCTTCTAAGTGGCTTAGCCTTGCGTTCGCGCAGGGACACATCCAATGAGGAGCGAGGGCGCTTTCAGGAGGCGGGCATTGTTCGACCGGTTCCACTTCTGATTGGTCCAGGGGCTTGCCTCTTCTCTTTTGATCGATCAGAGGGGCGGGAGGCGGGAGCCCAGCTCAACGGTTATCAGGCGGCAGTTGGAGTTCTGTCCCTGTGCTTCAAATTTCAGCTTCAGGGCTCGGTGGAGTGTTGTCTGGCGCCTACTTCCCCGTAGCTAGCTGAGGAACTGGGGAGGGAACACGGGGGCAGGAGGACCTGGGACTGTCGCTGCAGCTCCCAGTCGGGATGGAGACCGACTGAGGCGAGTGGCGGACCGGCGGGTGCAAACCGCTCAAAAAGCTGGAAGAGTCAGGTGCTGTAATAGTAGTAACAGCAGCTCCCGCTCACCGAGCCCTTTTGGTGTACCGCTGTGCGTGCATCATCTCACTGACTCCTTCTACATAACCCTGTGAGGGAGCAGATTACTCTGCCGGTTAACCTCCAAGGGTCATTTGTCGCCCACAGCGAAAGCCGGCATTGCTGGAACTCCGACCTTGTTCTAGAGAGTCCGGCATTCGAGCTACACTATGATTAAGTAGGGTTGATTTTGTAGATGTGGGGTGGGGCCTGATGTGATCACCTTGGCCCTGGCTTACCTCGTCCATACATGAAGGTGTTTGGGTTTTGGTTTTGGACTAGGATCTGATCCTGAAGGCTTCACTCAGTACATATGCTCAAGCCCTCAAACTTTTAGGTAAATGCATTTGCATTCTGGGAAAGGATAATTTTAATGTTTATTTCTGAGAAAGAGAGAGAGCGAGCACAAGCGGGGGAGGGGCAAAGAGAGAGCGAGACAGAGGATCCGAAACAGGCCCCGTGCTGACAGCACAGAGCGGGACGCGGGACTCGAACTCATGAACTGTGAGATCATGACCTGAGCTACAGTAGCCGCTTACCTGACTGAGCCACCCAGGCACCCGAGGGAGTCGTTTAGACAAAAGAAATTTTTTCCCCACCCCACAGTTCTGGAGGCTGGAAGTCCAAGATCAAACTGCCAATAGAGTTGGTTTCTCCTGAGGATTCTCTCCTTGGCCTGCAGATGTCTGCCTTCTCACTGTGTCCTCCTATGGCCTTTCCCCTATGCACGCACACTCCTTGTGTCTCCTCTTTTGATGAGGTGCCATGTAAACTGTTTTGTGTCAGTAAACTGTTTGTGTCAGTTCACATATTGAAACCTAATCCCCAATGTGGTATTTGGAGATGGGGGGGCTTTGAGAGGCGATTAGGTCATCAGGGGGTGGAGCCCTTATGAATAGGATTAGCGCCTTTATAAAAAAAGGCCCCAGAGATCTCCCTTGCCCCTTCTACCATGAGATGTTCAGTAAGTAGACCGTCATCCATGAACCAGATCCACCAGTGCCTTGATCTGGGACATCCCAGCCTCCAGAAAAATAGATTTCTGTTGTTTATAAGCTACCCAGCCCATGGTGTTCTATTATGGCAGCCTGAGCAGACTAAGACATAGTCCTATTGGATTAAGGCCCTACCCTTATGACCGCATTTACCCTTAATTCCCTCCTTAAAGGACCCCTCTCCAAATACAGCCATGTTGTGGGTTAGGGCTTCAACATGGGAATTTTGGAGGGGACACAATTCAGTCTGTAACACAGAATATCTACCACTAAAGGCCTCGAAGTTTGGTAGGGGAGAGACAAATTACTTACTTCAGAGGGAGGGGGCACATCAGAATGGTTAAGATGTTAGCTCTGGGAACCAGACTGACAGGTTTGGGTCCTGCCTGTACCAGTTATCAACTGTGTGAACTTGAGCAATTTTCTTCCACTTCCTGTGCCTCATAAGAATCAAATGAATAGACACCCCTGATATTCTTAGAATAGCCCCTGGCATGGAGCAAGCGCTGATGGGCTATTGTTGGCCATCGTTATTGGTTGCAAGTAAACTTAAAACTATACTAAGTGCTCTGAAGAAAAATCACAAGAGAGATACTTTAAGAAAGTAAAACAGGACGCTAACCTGGCCAGGGTTTTCAAGAAAGGCTTCCTGGAGGAAGTGAATGCTTGAAGTAAGATTTTCCAAATAATCACTAACACGACTAGGAGAAGGGTGAGTCTTCTGGGCAATGGTCAGATAGGTCCCAGAGCTCTGGGGTGAGAGGAGGCATGGCCCCGAAGTCCATTGTTGTTGGAATGGAGAGAGCAAAGTGAGAGGGAGCAGGGGAAGCAGGGGAAGCAGGGGAGAGTGAGGCTGGATGTGGTGGGCGGGGCCTGGCCCAGTAGGCCATGTTCAGGAGGGCTGGCATTTCCTAAGAACCACGCGCAAAGTCGCAGGAGGAGGTGTTTATTACTTTTCAAAGTTTTTGTTTTTATTTAAACATAAGTTTAAATGCCTCTGGAAAGGCAGAGAGAGAGGGAGTCAGAATCCCAAGCAGGCTCCTTGGCAGAGCCCGATGCGGGGCTCAAACCCACAAACTGCAAGATGTTTATTTTTGCGAGATGTTTGACCTGAGCTGAAATCAACCGACTGAGCCACCCAGGTGCCCCCCTTCCCCCCCCCTTTTTTTTTTTTTTTACAGAGAATGGTTTAACCCTTCCTGGCAATGCTGCAAGCCCTGCCACGTGAACAAACTTGGGCTGGCCTGCGGTAGACACATGGCCCAGTTCAGAGCCATTACCCCAGCCACCTACACCCACTGCCAGCCAGCCATACATGTGAGTGAAACCACCCCAGACCAAACAGCCCCCAGTCACTAGCTGACTGCAGCTGCGAGAGTCAGCCCAGGTGAGACCAACTGGAGAACTGAACTGCCTGGCTGGGCTCAGCCCAAATGGTCCAGAAGAATCAGGAGCTACAAAATAATAATTATTTTAAGCCACTGTGTTTCGGGTGGTTAAAAAAAAAGCTAACTGACATACCCTGGACCAGAGTAGTTTCTAGGCAACAAATATCACTTACCTGGATTCTGGGTCTTGAAAGTTGAAAAATTCCTTCTGTTTCCAGACTGGTTTCTTCGATTTTTTGAACGAATTTTTATGAGATGAACTTATTTTTTAAAAAAATTTTTAATATTTATTTTTGAGAGACAGAGCATGAGTGGGGGAGGAACAGAGAGAGGAAGACATAGAATCCAAAGCAGGCTCCAGGCTCTGAGCTGTCAGCACAGAGCCCGAGGCGGGGCTCGAACTGAAGAACAATGAGATCATGACCTGACCCGGAGTCAGCTGCTTAATAACCGACTGAGCCTTGGAGGTGCCCCTTATGAGATGAACTTTAATGCCTGGGACCTTTTGGTCATTTTTCCCCTAGTAGGACTGAAAGTGGCTTTTCAAAAAACAAACAAACAAACAAAAACCAGTTGCTCTGCTTTGCATCTATTTTCGTTTGCAGAGCATCTGAATAGGCAATTAAGGGAGAAATCATGATTCTATTTCATATTTTCGATACTTCTCTTGGTTAAATGATGCATCCCTAGCTGGGCTCAAGGAGGTGCTAGAGGTGGCCAGCTACAAGGGGGAGGGGAGTAACAGCCACCTGTTGGGCACAGCCCATTGCCAACTGGAACAAAGCCCTGGAATCTGGAGAGAAGCCTCTAACTTGCAGTGTCCCTCCAGCGCCCTCTACTGACAAGACCTGACCTCATGCCAGCTGATAAATATTGGAATTAAGAGGCAATCAATCAAAAATTGGCCCGGTGACTAATGGGCTCCCCAAATGTTAATAACAATGATAGTCAAGAGAATGGCTAACATTGAGTTCTCAGTGTTATTTATCTCTGAATAATCAGGAGACAGCTTATGGGGAGAGAGGATAGTGGTCCTTTCTGTGTCTATGGTCTGTTCACCCTTCCCTAGGCTCAGAGCCTGAGTTGGCCCTGGGTAGCCAACTTTCCCCCTGGCAGGGCAGGCCCATTGGGTGGAGCTGAGTCCATCCCTGCTCCAAGGCAGGCATGTGCCCGGGGGATGGTGAGTCAGAGCTCTCTCCAACCCTCCACACCACATTGTGGTGGTGGGACAATGGGAAATAATCCAGGGGAGGAGCCATGACACCTCCAGAAACTCAGACATCCAGACAGGATGTGGATCTGGTGCTGACACTCCTTGCCTCGCTTCCCTGCTAGTTTTAAAAATTCCTTTTTCTACCTAGCACTTACTATCCTCTGACATGTATGTTTCCCTTCTTGGTTTCCTTGATCTCCTCCTCTGAAAGGTAAGCTTTTATAAAGGGAGAGACTGAGGTCTGATTTGTTCCCTGCCGGGTCCCCAGATCTAGAACAGTGCCTGGCGCACATGTTAGGCAAGCAATAAATATGTGAATGTATGAATGAGTCATTAACAATTATACCACCTAGGACAGGGGCAGATGCAACTTACCTCAGCATAGCTTCCTGGGCCCCCAACTGGGTCTTAAGATATCAGTGACATTGTCTGCATAACATTGGTTCTCACTGGGTCTGGAAAATTTGAGTCTTCTAATTCTACAGTGCCTTGAATACCCAGGACTTAACACCAGTTAAAGAATTTTTGATAAATTCAGTGCGTTGTCCATTTGATAACATGAACATCTTATCTTGTGAGTTGGTTTCTAGTGAATCACCCTATTTCCTTATTTTCACTCCAGTCCTCAGCCATGTGTAATTTCTTCCTGCAATCCAAAATGAAAACATTTTGAAATAATGCCAACAGATAAAAAATGTCAAATAGGGGCGCCTGGGTGGCTCAGTCAGTTGAGTGCCCGACTTCGGCTTAGGTCATGATCTCCTGGTTTGTGGATTCGAGCCCCGCGACGGGCTCTGTGTTGACAGCTCAGAGCCTGGAGCCTGTTTCGGATTCTTTGTCTCTGTCTCTCTCTCTCTCAAAAATAAACATTAAAAAAATTTTCAAATAATGACATTTGTCAGGTAGGTACTCTGAAAAACTCATGATGCAAGCGTGAATATACATTATTTAAAAAATATTCATCAATTGTCGGTGGATAATCATTTCTGAATTAAGGAAAATTACTCATAAAAATACAAGGGCATTTCCTGTGCATACACAAATGTTTCCCTTTTTTTTCTCCTTTTTAGAGTTCTACAAATGTAGAAACATACATTCAGTTGTTTCAAATAAACTTTTTATTTTGGAAGAATTTTGAGTTTGCAGAAAAGTTGCAGAGACAGTACAGAGAATTCTTGTATGCCCTTTACCCAGTTTCCCCTAATGTTAACATATTACATAGCCATGGACATGTATCAAAATGAAGAAATTAATGTTGGTACACTACCATTAATCTTCAGACTTTATTTGGATTGTGCTATTTTTTCCACTAATATATCTGGTCTTCCAGGCTCCAATCTAGGATAACAGTTTGCACTGAGCATATATTCAGTTTTGGGCTTTGCGCTTTTATCAATAAACAATATATCTTGGAGATGGTTTCGTATCAGCAAATATAAATGCGGCTCCCTCTAAACCTAGCCGCATAGTATTCCGTGGTGTGAAAAGAGAATTAGAGAACCTTTTCTTTTCTGACATGATTTATGCTGTTTTTCAGGGATTGCTTTTAGGTTATTCTCGTACAGAGCATCTTTGCACACGCTTGTGAGTGCATATGCAGAATAGATTCCCAGAGGTGGAATCACGTGGTCAAAGGCGTGAGAGTTTTACATTTTCGGGACTAAGCTTATCTGCCCTCGTGTAAGGAATGTAAACCACAGCGGGTGTAGACAGAGGCGTGTGCCTGCCCGATGGCTTGTATGGTGTGTTCTTTCCATTCTATACTCTCAGATGATGAAAGAAACATTGACCCAGTGGGGCAGGAGATGGAGATAAGCCTGGGGAGGTGGCAAGGAGACAAGCCATAAGGGACCTTCAGTGCCAGGCAGAGGTGCTGGACGTTATCCCGAGGACACTGGGGAGCCGAGTAGGATTAGAGGCTGGATCAAGCCATGGACAGACGTGGTCAGGTAGAGATGTGGTAAGAAGAAACATCAAATGGCTACCTCTCCCTTGGGTGGCCCCGGGAGCCTCACTCGGCCCTCACGTCTCTCTCCTTCCCTCTCACCCACAGGAGTGGGCATGTGAGCGGAGGGACCAGGGCGGACAAACCTGTTCTGCTGGCCGAGGCCTGCCTAGGACAGGCCACGCTGCTGCCAGTCCGGCTGAGTGAACTACACTCTGCAGGCGTGTGACCAGATGGAGCCAAGGAAGGTGGTGGCAGATGTGGGACAGAGGTGGAAGCCTGCCTATCCGCCCTCTCCAAAGCCAGCGCAACCCCCAGCCCCAGCATTTGGCAGGGCCTGGCCTGTTTTAACTGTTTAGGTAAAATTCGAAAATGTTTCGCAGAGCCATTCTTTCCTTGATACACATCTCATGTCCCATGGTGACGTTTTTCTTAACATTTGTTTATTGTTTTTGGAGGACAAGCAATAATCATAGAATATTGGCAAATACCAAAATAGCCAAGGAATGAACTAAAAGTCCCTGCAAGTCTCTCCTCTTCCTTAGTAACCGACGATAACCTTTGGGAGACTTTGTTTTACAATTTTATTTATTGATTTTTTAATGTTTATTTTTGAGAGAGAGACAGAGTGCAAGTGGGGGAGGGGCAGAGAGAGGGAGACACGGACCCGGAAGCAGGCTCCAGGCTCCGAGCTGTCAGCACAGAGCACGACGCGGGGTTCAAATCCACCAACCGTGAGATCATGACCTGAGCCGGATGCTTAACTGAGCCACCCAGGCGCCCCTGTTGTACAATTTTAACGCTAACGTGCACATATTTATATTTTTATCAGAAAAGCGATCACACCCAGCACGCTCTTTTGTAATCTTCTGCATTGAACAATTTCCCAAGTATTTTCCCATGACATTAAATATTCTTTTGCAATGTGATTTTTAAGGAAAAAAACTGATTTTATGCATACCAATTTCCATTAATTCCACAAACCCTCTTTTAAAGTTCTTCAGATAAAAAAGCATATTAACTCTGGGGTGATTGGGTGGCTCAGTCAGTTAAGAGTCCAACTTTGGCTCAAGTTCATGATCTCACAGTTCGTGAGTTCGAGTCCCATGTCGGGCTCTATGCAGACATTTGAAAGCCTGGAGCCTGCTTTGGATTCTGTGTCTCCCTGTCTCTCTGCCCTCCCCCACTTGCGCTCCGTCTCCCTCTCAAAAATAAACAAACATTAAGAAAGTTTTTAAAAAGTATATTAACTCTAATGTATGCTGAGCCCATGGGTTGAATATCCGCCGCGAAAGCACTAAGCATTTTCCAATAAGACTTTAGTGTTTAAAGCACAAGTGTGGGAGTCACTTTGGTGAATCAGCTTCTGTACGTTGAGCATGGTGGACCCCAAACATTTGAAATTGGGACTCATCAGAGACGGTAGCAGCCTCAGCAGATGGTGTATTTCTGCACTCGATTCTGATTACACGGGATTGAGAAAATTCCTGATTCATAATAATAAGGTCTATTAGTTCCTGAACTCAGAATGAATTGGGCCCTGTGCCCTGAGGTAGGGACTGTTAGAACACCCATTTCATAGACGGGCACACTGAGGCTCAGAGAGTTCAGTGGGGCTTGTGAGAACCTGGCGCTGCCTCTTTGCCTCTCTCAGAGAATCCAAGTCACAGACGGGTCACCCTGAACTTGCTTATGAGGACACACCTACATCTAGCAGTAGATTTGGCTGCAATCCCCCCTTTCCTTGACATGTTTACAAGGCAGTCAAATATGTGCCCAGGATCGGGGAGAATTTTCATTCCAGAGCCTGCAGGAAAGCCAGGTAGGTCAGTTAACACGGGGCAGTTAAAATGTGGTGGGTATCACATCTATGTGGTGTTTAAAAAAATTTTTTTTTAATGTTTACCTATTTTCGAGAGAGAGACAGACAGAGCATGAGCAGGGGAGGGGCAGAGACAGAGGGAGACACGGAATCCAAAGCAGGCTCCAGGCTCCAAACTATGTGGGGTTTTAAAGCTCTGGATATGTTGTTCAGTATTTTAGAAACCACTTTTCTTGGGGCGCCTGGGTGGCGCAGTCGGTTAAGCGTCCCACTTCAGCCAGGTCACGATCTCGCGGTCCGTGAGTTCGAGCCCTGCGTCGGGCTCTGGGCTGATGGCTCAGAGCCTGGAGCCTGTTTCCGATTCTGTGTCTCCCTCTCTCTCTGCCCCTCCCCCGTTCATGCTCTGTCTCTCTCTGTCCCAAAAATAAATAAACATTGAAAAAAAAATTAAAAAAAAAAAAGAAACCACTTTTCTTGTTTTTGAAAAATAATTTCTAATATATATAGTATGTATTATATATATTATATATGTACACATTATTATATATGTATATATATTCTGTGTATATATACTGTGTGATCTATATATTATATATATAATATATATAATTTTTATAAAAATGAGATCATGCCTCCTGTTCTGCTCCTTGCCTATTTACATAACAAGATGATCTATGACACATCTAAACCCTGGAATGCATTGCAACACTAAAAAGAAAAAAAAAAGAGGTGAATTCATAAATACTGAATGGAAAGTGACCATAATACATAGTTAAGTGAAGAAAGCAAGTTACAAAGCAATATTTTATAGCATGATTCCATTAAATGTGTGTGCACTTATATAAATATCTATAGATGTGTCTATATAAACTGTTGAAAAGCTAAAAAAGACATTCATCATGTGTCAATAGCAATTGTCCAGGGGGGATGGACCAGATTTGGGGGAGGGGTGATGATTTCCTGGGGCGTGAAATATGGGACGCTTCCACTTCTAAATTTTTATAATCTTTAAGTAGAAGGGTTATAAATTCTTTTAAACATCATTCTGAAAACATTGACCCATTTCTTTAAAAAGACCCAGCCCTGAATATGTTATCCACAGGAATAAAAGTACTGTATGTGCAAATTTTTCTACTCTGCATTTCTTGGAGATTTTTCCACGTTAAAACATTATTTTTTACTACTGTGTGGTATTCTAGAGTATAGACATAGCATAGCTAACTTAACCAGTCCCCGACAGAGGCTCATTTAGGTCACTGTAATGAACATCCTTATGTATACTTGCCAATTATTTATGTCATGATGACATTTTTCTATATTGGCTCATGTAGTTCTCCTTTTTTTAATGTTTTTATTTATTTTTGAGAGACACAGAGCACGAGCGGGGGAGGGGCAGAGAGCGAAGGAGACACAGAATCCGAAGCAGGCTCCAGGCTCTGAGCTACCAGCACAGATCCTGACTCAGGTGGGGCTCAAACTCACAAACCGTGAGATCGTGGCCTGAGCCGAAGTCGGGCGCTTAACAGACTGGGCCACCCAGGCGCCTCCCTCTACATTCTTCTTAAACAGCCACAGAGAATCCGGCCTAAGGATGTAACATGAGTTGTACAACCCACCCCCTGCCGATGGTTGTTTGCCGTTTTTCACCCTAACAAAAAAGCCTCTTTGACCATTACAAATTAAAAAAAAAAAAATGTTTATTTTTGAGAGAAAGAGAGGGAAAGAGAGTGAGTGGGGGAGGGGAAGAGAGAGAGGGACACGGAATCCGAAGCAGGCCTTGGGCTCTGAGCTGTCAGCACAGATCCTGACACAGGGCTCCAACTCACGAACTGTGAGATCATGACCTGAGCTGAAGTCGGGCGCTCACCCGACTGAGCCACCCAGGCGCCCCAGATCATTGCAGATTTTTAAAAGTATATTTTAAAAAGTTTGATATCTGAATTCAGCATTTGCAGACCATCTGTGGAGTAAATGAGGAGTGTGGGAAACTTCATTTGATGGAGAAGGAGGCCAGGCCCTCTTGGCAGGGCCTAATTACTATAAAATGGACAGAGGATGGCCTGCTTCAGAGAGGACAAAAGAGCGAGGATGAGATTCGTAGAGTTTTGCTGTCATCCACCCATTAGAGAACTTGCTGGAAGCTACAGCCCGTAGGAGGAGGTTATCTGTCACCCATACCAGCCCAACAGCCCGAGCTCTAATTTTCCTTTGATAAACCACCCCCACTTCCCAACACCACCCTTAGCAGTATTAATTCAGATACCCTGCCTTCCCCAACCAAAGGATGGGCTAGACTCTAAAGCAAGACAGTGAGATTGAATCCCTGACCTTGGGTAGAGCTGTTGGGAGAGAGGCCTCTCTTGCTGCTGTGTTGCTTAGCTATGAGAAAGTCTGTCTGCGAATGAAGCAGGTTTCCTTGAAACTTAGATTGAACCCCTGGATCCAGACATGCCTGAAGCCAGCAATACTGACTCAGTTGCATGAGTCGAGAAATTCTATGTTATGTTTCAGTCAGTGCCAGTTGGGTTTCTGCCACTTCCATTGGAAGAGTTATTGTTCATTTGTCTCTGCCCCACAAGAAAGCAAATTAATTCATTCAACCAGTATTTATTGAATATCCACGCTCAGCCCTCTGCTGGGTGATGCTGGGGACAATACAGTGACCATGACAGAGCTTCTTCCTCCCTTCCTGGCGACCCTAGTCCACCAGAGAATAAACAACCCCAAACTATTTAGCAATGAGGGCCAACGTCTACCATGAAGGAGGAGCTTGGGGAGCTATAAGAGAGGCGTTGGTGATGGGGTGGGTGGGATCCCGGAAGGGTCCCCGGAGGACAGGACTTGAAATTGACACTGAAAGATGGGCCGGGAATCAGCAAAGCGAAGTGACGTCAAGGGCTAAGGGCCCACGCACACATGTCCCAGGGCTTCGGGGGACCTCCAAGTCCCAGCAGGGCTCAGAAACCTGGGAAAAGGTCTTTGGTGAGGAAGGAGGGAAGCTTGAGGGAGGTGGGAAGGGGAGAGCTGAGGCAGCCATCCAGTCCACGGCCGGAGGAAACAGGAACAGGAGGAGGCAGAGGCCGAGGCGTGCATGTGGCCTTCCTGTCCCTCACAACGTGGTGTAGAAATACATGGCCATCAGCATCACAGGCAGCTGGAGGAAGAGGCAGTGGAGTGAGGGGCGCTCCAGCCCCACACGCACATCCCGCCTAGCCCAGAGGCTCCCCACCTCTCACCGTCCACATCAGGATGGCAAACCCAAACCACGAGATGCCCCATGTGTAGCTGTCGATGGCATGGCTGATGTGCTCGAAGCAACCCTGGGAGGGGGAGAGACGGGGTGGGGGTTGAGAAAACGTCACCGTGAGCCCTTGGGAAGGTGATTTCCTTCCTCAAGCCCTGGTTTGCTCACCTGTGCAATGGGGGGTGTGGCAGTGTCTACCTCCCAGAGCGGTTCTGGGGAACCAGGGATGCGATGTGGAGCCCACGCCCCGCACAGGTGGGTACTGCCCTGTTGGTGGCTATGAGAGTCTGAGGGCAGTCTTGTCTAGAGCTGGCTTTCCATGCTGCCCGTAAGTTCCCAGGGTTTGAAATCTGCCTTTAGGATGAGTGCAGTTTTGCTACGTCCTTTAGGAATGAGGCCAGGTGGGGCCCGAGTCTCGCAAGCGAGTCATTTCCACGTAGACCCCTGCCTCGACTTGGAAGCATCAGAGGACGAGATTCAGGGTGTCTGTCCTGGAGTCAGGTGGGACTGAATTGGGGACCAGCTCTGCCACCTGTTAGCTGTTGGAGCCTAGGAATGATTCTGACCCTCTAAGCCTCAGCTTCCCCGTCTGTGCAAGTGGCAACCCTGACGCACCGGCCTCCGAGAGCACTTGTGGGGATTCCATGGGACGACACGCGCGCACACGCGCACGCGCACACACACGCACACACAGACACGCACGCACGCACTCCGCACAGAGTCGGGCTTGAGAAACGGCTGGGTGACTCTGACAGCGGTGATGGTTTGCACAGGCTCCTCTCTCCGTGACACCTGATCTAAGACGTGGCTGAAGGCCCCCCCCCCCCCCCGGGGGCCCAAAGCAGCCAGAGCAACCACTGGGACTGGTTCTCCTCCCAGCTAATCTCCTCTGGTTTCAATCTCTGCCTCTGCACTCACCTTGCACTAGTTAAAGCGCCTAGTTGGGGCCTGCCCTCCTGAAATCCAGCCCCAGCTCCATCCCTCACTAGCGAGTGAGCTCCGTTTCCTCATCCTGAAAATGGGATCATTCTAATCTTTGCCTCCCAGGGCTGCGGTGAGAAATCAGACAAAAACCTGAAACACCTAGAAGAATGCCCGGCACCACGCAAAGGCTGGATAAGCGATGGCTGGCGTTGCTGTTGTGCTGTTATTGTTGTTGTTCTTATTCCCAACTGAGAAAAGCCGCAGGTGCCAGGTCCTGGGCCTCCCCCTGACTAGCAGAGGGAGGGAGGGACCGACGGGGAGAGGGTTGGGCGAGCCAGAGAGAGGGGGGAGAAAGAAAAAGCCAGAGAGGGGAGGAGAGGACGGGAGGGAGAGATAGAAGAAACTGAGGCGGCCAGACCTGCAGACCGGTGGTGGGGGGGGGGGCGCACCTTGGTGAACAGGTAGTCTGTGTGGCCCAGGCGGCAGCCTTCTTCATTGAGGGGAATGAAGTTGCCTGTCCGCCGACAGCACAATGGGGGCCAGGGGAGCACCACCTCCGGGGTGGCTGCCCGGAAGGCCGAGGTGAAGTTCACCCAATCCATAGGACCGGATGTGCCACAGCACTCTTGCTGGAGAGAAAGGCCGGAGTCAGGCAGGCTTTGGCTCAGAGAGGACAGCCACTCGCCCGCCCGAGGTTGTAGAGTGAGGAAGCTGGGCCTGACTTCCCCATGTCCCCGGCTTCTAGGCGGCGGGGGGGCGGGGGGGGGGGGGGTGGGGGGCAGTGTCCGTGTGTGTGAACAGGGAGCAGAAGATATTTGTCCCGTCACCGAGAGGCTGGTGGAGGATTTGGATCAAACCCACCGTTTCGTTACTTATTTTAAAATTCTTTTGCATTAGCTGTCAACAAAACCCGAAGTAAATGACACCCTGGCCCCTGTGGGTGTTTAATTTGTGGCCCTGAATGATAAAAACATAGGTTCCTTCAAATACGAGTCCCCATCTTGGCTAGCTGTATGACTTGAACCGAATTGGGACCTCAGTTTCCCTTGGGTCCTCAATATTCTTCTCTTGTGCCACATCGCATTGGGTTTAATTAAGAATGTGGCTTCGGGGGCGCCTGGGTGGCTCAGTCAGTGAAACAGCGACTTTTGGCTCAGGTCATAATCTCGCGGTTCACGAGTGTGAGCCCCACGTTGGGCTCTGTGCCGACAGCTCAGAGCCTGGAGTCTGCTTCGGATTCTGTGTCTCTCTCTTTCTCTCTGCCCCTCCCTCGCTCATGCTGTCTCTGTCTCTCTCTCAAAAATAAACATTAGGGAAAAAAAAAAAAAGAATGTGGCTTCTGGAAGCTGATGGTCTGGGTTTCAATCCTTCTGGTTCTGTGACCTACCAGCTGTGTGACCTTGTGTAAGCCACTCAACCTCTTACCTTGGTTTCCTTCCTCATTGTTAGAAAGCTGATCTCCTTTATGGGGTAGTTGTGAGGAATAAGTAAGCTTTAAAGGTGCTTTGAACAGTACTAAAGAAGTCAGTGCTCATTACATTTCGTTATTATGATTACCATCATTATTAAGAAGGTATGTGTAATGATTAAGAGCAGGGACTCTGGTTATAGGCTGTCAGATCTTGATCCCAGCTTACCAACCACGTGACATTGGACAAGTGACATTCCCTTTTTGGGCCTGTCTCCTCATCTGGAAAATGGCCATGACCAGCCCTCCCCACCCCCCATAAGAACCGCAGGAGTGGGTATCATCTACCAGTGGGCATAATGGGAGCCCTAGCTACCTCAGAGTCCCAGGTCCTTCAGCCCTCCCCATCCCTTCGTCCGCCTCAACCCCCCCCCCCCCCACCATGTCCACCTCAATCATGATGCGGTCCCAGAGACGAGTCAGTTCCCGGCCCTGGTCCGTGTCTGCACTGTAGAAGGTCAGCATCTGCTTGGTAATCAGGGATGGGTTGGACACCATCTGTGGAGGTCCAGGAAGAAGAGGATCCAGTGGGGCTGGGTGGGGCGGGAGGTCAACCTCCACCCCACCCCCAGGCCCAGACCCTTGCCACCCTCCCCCAAGTCATGCCCCTCCCCTGGCCTCTGCCCAGCTCACATAGTCTCGGTGAGTGTAGGATGTGATGCAGGAGGCGCATTCAAAGATGTAGACGATGAGCATGAGCACCAGGTACTGGGGAAAGAGGGAGGGAGAGACAGAGGGACAGCCCGGTCAGGGCAAAGCCTGTATCAAGTCACACCCCCTCAAGGGATGGACTGATGGATAGAAATGCAACTTTATTTTATTTTATTTTATTTTAATGCTTTTATTTATTTTTGAGAGAGAGAGAGAGAGAGAGAGAGAGAGAGAGACAGCATGAGCAGGGCAGGGGCAGACAGAGAGAACTCTAAGCAATTCACAGAATTCTAAGCAATTCACAGAATTCTAAGCAGGCTCCAGGCTCTGAGCTGTCGGCCCAAAGTCCGACGTGGGGCTTGAACCCACAAACCATGAGATCATGACCTGAGCCGAAGTCAGATGCCCAATCGACTGAGCCACCAAGGCGCCCCTAGAAATGCAATTTTAAAAAGAAGTGTAGGACAATGTGAACAGTAGCATCTATGTGGTGGGTGTAAGTACAGGGGTTCCCCGTTCAAGTCTTTCACCTTTTCTGTGTTTTTGATATATTTCTGTATTTTTTTATAATAAAATGTTAGGAACAAATGAAAGCAACAGAAATATGTAAAGTATTTCCTGAAGCTAACTATTGGCTTGGGTGCAGTAAAATAAATGTCTACCATAGGAGAGAAAAAAAAAGACCTTCTTGAGACAACCAGGAACATTTGGTTGTCTGTTTGTCTAGTCTGCGTTCAAACAGATATCGCAAGAGAGATATGAAGGAATTTGGGTGGGTTTTGTAGGTGCACCAGTGGCATGATGGTTGTGCATAAGAAGAAAAAAAGCTCTTCCCTCACCCCACGCCCTCTGCCTCAGAGCAACAGGGGGTGGAAAGTGGTCGTGCTAACTCCTCTGCCATGAGCTGAGATGCTGCGGTATAACATGCCTGACTGCTCGAAACTGTCCTCATCACAGAGAAATGTGCACTCAAATATTTATGGGTAAATGACTTGGTGTCTGGAATGCACTTCAAAATACCCCAGAAAGAAGAATGTGGGCAGGCAGGGGTGGAGCAGAGGGGACAAAGCTGGCCAAGTCTATGATCAATGTCGTTGAAACTAGGTGATGGGGGTGCAGGGCTCATGCCACTCACTCTGCTCTATGTTTGAAATTTCCCATAAAATTCTATGCCTCACGTGGAAAGATGCTCAACGTCACTCATCATCAGGGAAATACAAATCAAAACCACACCAAGATATCACCTCATATCCATCAGAGTGGCTAAAATTAACGACTCAGGAAACAACAGACGCTGGCGAGGATGTGGTGAAACGGGAATCCCCTCGCGCTGTTGGTGGGAACGCAAACTGGTGCCGCCGCTCTGGAAAACTGTGTGGAGGTTCCTTGAAAAACTAAAAATAGAACTACCCTATGACCCAGCAATAGCACTACTAGGAATTTACCCAAAGGATACAGGAGTGCTGATGCATAGGCACTTGTACCCCGATGTTTATAGCAGCGCTTTCAACAATAGCCAAATCATGGAAAGAGCCTAAATGTCCATCAACTGACGAATTGATCAAGAAGATGTGGTTTATACATACAATGGAATACTACTTGGCAATAAGAAAGAATGAAATCCTGCCATTTGCAGCAACCTGGATGGAACTGGAGGGTATTCTGCTAAGTGACATAAGTCAGGCAGAGAAAGATATCGTATGTTTTCACTCATATGTGGAATTTCAGGAACTTAACAGAAGACCCGAGGGAAGGGAAGGGGAAAAATAGTTTCAAACAGAGAGGGAGGCAAACCATAAGAGACTCTTAAATACAAAAAAACAGAGGGCTGATGGGGGACGGGGGTGAGGGGAATGGGTGATGGGCATTGAGGAGGGCACTTGTGGGGATGAGCACTGGGTGTTGTATGGAAGCGATGAATCACGGGAATCTACCTCCAAAACCAAGAGCACACCGTATGCACTATGTTAGCCAACTTAACAATAAACTACATTAAAAAATAAATAATAAATAATGAAAGATTGAGAAACAAAGCAACATGTTAATGACTGGTGAATTTAGAAAGATTTGTGGGAGTTTACTGTTGCCACGATTCTGTAAGTTGGATAATTTTTCAAAATAAAATGTTTAAAAATGTTCTCCAGTCGGTAACCAATGTGCAATTTGCGATATTTGCACTAAAATATCATGTGAAAAAAATGCCCAGTTAAAAACATAAAAATAAAAAAATAAATAAAATTAAAATAAGATAAATAAGTAAAATAAAAATAAAATAAAATAAATAAAAATAAAATTTTGTGTCTTAGTTAATGACAAACTAATAAGGGAGACAGCCACCTTTTTTTTTTTTTTTTTTTTTCTTTTTTTTTTCCACCAGTTGGGTGAGCTTTTAGGGCTTAGGTTAGATGGTTATGCCAGAGAATTCCGTGCAGGAAAGAAAGAAAAAGAGAAGGAAAGCCTTTCCAAGGCTCCATCTTACAATAAGGCCCAGGTCCTTACCAAGACTGGCAAGACTCACCCATAGGCCCACCTTCCCCTTCTCGCCCTCATGCCCCTTGCCCACCGCCCACTGTACCCACTCCATCCAACCTCATTTCCTCTCCTTCCCCGCCACCCCCACTTGGCTCTGACTTCAGAGCCTTTGCTCTTGCTGTTCCCTCCCCCACACGTGCTCTTCCTGCAGACACAAGGCTCACTCCCTCACCTCCCCAAGGCCTTCGCTTTCTCTGGCCGCAGGCCTCCCCTGCCCCAGCTCCGGCTCTCCCTTCCCTCTTCGCTGTGCCTTGGAGCATCCTCCCCTGGGACAAGGGGTTCACCAGAGCCCCAGTGCCTAGCGCGGGGTTTGGCACGTGGTTCTTGCTCAATAAACGTTTGTCGATTGAATAAGTAGCTGCTCCCGGGAATCGAAAAGGCCCTAGATCGTAGAGGAGGCACCACGTTGGCTCTGCAGCAGTGGGGCCGGGATTAGAGGCCCTGCCTTCCCGAACGCCTGGGCTGTTGGCCTCTTTGAACCCCAGTTTCCTCAACTGGAAAAGGGGCCGAGAAGCATAACTTCGGAGGCTTCTGGGGAGATCGGCGGAGCTCATTTTCTAAACTGCTCAGCCTAGTGCCGGGCACATGAGGGGTGGTTGGGAAGTGTGGGTTCTTGTGGTGGTGGTCATTCCCGGCAGAAATTCAGAGCACAGGCTCGAGCTGAACTACTCGGGTTCAAATCCCGGCTCTGTCACCCACTCGCTGTGCAACCCTGGATAAGTGACTCCACTTCTCCGAGCCTCAGTTTCTACTCTGTCAAACGGGTTCACGAGGAGGATGGTATCTCATGGTAGGTTGTGAGGAATAAATGAACCAATCTATGTAAAACATTTAGAATACAGCGAGCACTCCTTGAACGGTAGCTGTGCTGTCATTACTGTTGTTCACGAGCACAGACTCTGGGGACCAACTAGCTGAGGTTCGAATCTCAGCCCTGCCACTCAAGAATCATCCTCCTGGGCAGAGCTTCCTTGCCTTCCTCTCTGTGCCCCAATTTTCTTTGGAAATTGAGGATAACAGCTGAGCCTGTTACTGGGTTAGGGGAAGATTAAATAGGACGACAGGCCCAAGTGTGGCACCATGCTGAACACACACTCGTGGCCGCGGCGGTGGTTGTTACTGTGGCTCCGTGTGGATGATCTCCGTGCCCACCCGTCCCCATGCCCTGCCCCCGGGGCCTCACCGTGAGGATCATGGACCGGCGGCGGCAGAGCGCCGCGCCCACACCAAAGCTGGCCACCACGAAGAAGGAGAAGCCGCAGAAGATGGCGATCCAGGCGCCAGCGAAGACGTCATCCTTGCCTGAGACGCCCATCAGTGGGTACACGCGGTACTGGTCAGCTGTCACCCATACGGTCTCAGCAAACAGGGCCAGGCCTGACAGCTGGACAGGGCAACAGGTTAGAAAGGCTGGCTCAGGCGTGGCGGCCGGGGCTGCGGGACTCTCTGCGAACGAGTTCCCCTTCTGAGCCCCCGCCGGCCTCGGTAAAGCGGGGCTGTAAGAAGAAGGGCAAGGACCTCGCCTTCCATGAGTGGGGCTGGGGCTGGGCAGAGGCCAGAAGGGAAGGGCTGCCCGGCCGGATCCCTGCCCCCCGCCCACATCCCAGCCGCCAGCTGCTTCAAGGATACGAGGAGATGCCACATACACAGCCCAGAGCGCACGACCGGAACAGAGGAGATGCTTGATCACGTGCCCTCTCTCAATAGTGTTGTTATTCCCGAGCTGAGGAATCTGGCTGGGCCGGGCCGGAACAACTACAAACGCATCAACCCTTTGACCCACAATTCCGCCTGCAGTAATCAATCCTGCTCGTGCAGGAAAATCATAAACCCACACAGTCATTCCCTGTGTCACCACGTAAAAGGAACCGGCGTGCCACACGAGGGAGGGCTCTGCAGTCATGACAAAGGGCGAGGAGGCCGAGGACTCATGTGGAAGGGCCTACAGACTAGGTCAGCAGGAGAAACTGGGAGGCACAGAACAGGATGTGGAATGAGCTGTATCTTGGACAAAAAGGGAAGAAAATAGGTATACACGCTCCTATTGCTTAAAGAAATTGTTGGAGAAACTAAAAATCTAGGTACCTATAGGGATGAGAGATGGGAAGCAAGGAGAGAGGAAGACTTCTAGAACAGTGGCTACCTTTGACAACACTCACACTGACACTCATGGGGTATTTAGTGTGTGCGCGCCAGGCACGGTCCCACTAACTGCTTTCTGTGTGATAACCATCGTCACCAGCTGCAGAGTCACGGCCGATACAAACAGTAACCGTGTGTCGTCCCACGCTCCGCACGAATCTGATAACTCATCTTAAACTCTTGGCATTCCTATTTTATCTCCATCTACAGATGAGAAAACTGAGGCCCAGAAGGATTACGTTGCTGGCCCCAGGTCCCATGGTAGAAAGCAGCAGAGCTGGGGTTTGAGCCCAGGCTGTCTGGCTCCAGAGCCATGTACAGGCATCACAGTTTAAAATATTAAATAGTAATTAAGAAGACATTGCTATGGTTAGTATTCATTACGATGGGCCTCCTGTGCCCCAAGCAGCCACTTTATGTCTATAGTCATGTTAACGAGGACAACATTTGTCAAGCACTTTTTCGGAGCTGAGGGTCAGTATGGATGAACCCACGCAACAGTCCCCACAACGGGGACATAATCTATTGATGAGGAAGCAGAGTGATGAGAAGGAGAGTGGCTTGCTGGAGTTTGCAAAGCTGGGGAGCCACAGAGCTGGGATTGGAATCCAGGCTGCCCTGGCTTGACAGCCTGCAGCCATCACCAACCCGGGAGTCCTGGGCCCTGAGCCCCCACCCCCAGGTATCCCTTCCTCCCTGCCCACCCACTGGGCTCCCAGCACTGGGGGAGGTCTCACCAGAATAGTGATGTTGCCCACCACCAGCAGTCCCACCACAACCGGAGACCCCTTCTCCGCCTCTGCTGCTGCAGAAGCCATAGTCCTGCTGGGGACACATGAGTGGGAATGAGGCCAGGAGGGGGAGGGAAGCCCCACCAGCCTCACTCCACACCCCAGCTGCTGGGGGTGCTCCTGGCTCTCTGCTGGGCCCAGACTGGTGCTGAATGAATCTCCCCACAACCCTGATGGCGGGCCACTTTACAGACAAGGAAACCGAGGCTCATTGGCCAGAGCTCAGTGCTGGCCTCCCTGCACCTCATAGCTTCCTACTTTCCCTTGCTCATCCAGACCCTCCAGAGCCCCCTCCTCACCTTCTCTTTCCGAAGCCTCTGTGGTCAGCCCTTCCCACAGTGGCTGCCTATATATATATGCCCAGGCCCCTCCTTGGGCCAGTCTCCCAGGAAGGAGGAAGGGAGTCTGGAGGAGGAGGGGACAAGAGGTCAAGCAAGCTGACCAGCATGGGAAAACAGATTTATGAGCACCCCACCCCCCAACCCAGGTGATTTATAGACCTGAAATTCAAGATTGTGCTAATGTCTGGCTACATGAGCAGCATGATGTGCCCATGGCCTCTGGTTCCCAGGCTGTCTTGGTGGGGGAGGGGGCCGGGCCACCTGATGTCTCTCCTTAGGACATGGGCCTTCTTGGGGGTAGGGGGAGATCCAGGTTGGATCCACGTGTGAATCCTGAATTCCAGAACTGCCTCCTGTGTTGGTGGCTCCACCTCTCCGAGGCTGGGAGCCCAGGGGGAGGCCCAGACAGGGACCCAGCAGGCTAGGACGGAGCTGGACCAAGGCAAGGAGGTGGGGAGGAGATGAGGGAGCAGGTGAGAGGGCAGCTCAGAAGGCTGATTATATGGGCTGCAGGCTAAGGGAAGAGGACGGCTGGAGACAGGTGTGTGAGGGGAGTTCCAGATGAGTGCACAAGAGGGGGAAGAGAGTGTGCCAGAAAAAGAGGGAGGGCACACTGAATGGGCTTGGTGGGAGAAAAGCAACCCCTCCCCCCACCACCCACGGACACAGCAGGGTCACAGCGAGGAGCCATAAGTGGAAAGGTCTTCAGGCTACAGAATCAAAAGAGACCTACACTGAAATCCCAGCTCTGCTCCTCTGGGCTGCGCAACTTGGTGTGTGCGTTTGCCCATCTGCAGAATGGGTATCATTCTTATACTTATAGCAGTGGGAACTGAGTGCAGGGATGTCTGCAAAGGATGCCTTCTGGGCGCGTGTACAGCAAGAGGCCAGGCTGCACCAGCAATGCTCCCAAGAGGCCCACTTTTCCTCCGATGGCGCCCCCTAGTGGCAAGAGGTTGGTTCCTTAGATGAAAATGGCTTGGGGCGCCCAGTCGCTCCCCAGAACTTCTCAAGAACCAAGGCAGTTACCATGTTTTTTCTCTGAACTGTAGCTCCCTCAAGTGTATGTGAAGCCGGCAAACAAATGGGACTTAAACTTCACTGTTAAGACAATGGCTTGGTAATAAGACACGTGAGACGTGTTCCAGTTAAAATTAAAACAATTTGGCTTTTAGTCAATCCACTTTACATGGAAAATAGTTTTTCTCGGGGCACCTGGGTGGCTCAGCCAGTTAAGCATCCGACTCTTGATTTAGTCCAGGCCATGATCTCTCAGGATGAGACTCCTGTCAGGCCCCATGCTGAGCATGGAGTCGGCTTGGGAGCATCTCTCTGCCCCTCCCCCACTCTCTCTCCCTCTCTGTCTTTCAAAATAAATAAACATTAAGAAATAGTTTTTTCTCTGTTGATTTACATTTATATTAAGGACTAATAAGAAAATTTAAATAATAATGTACACGACCTGTCAAGTACATTTTATGAGCTTTAGCTAAAATAACTTGGTAACAATAGGGCCATGTGAATAATATGAAATATTTTTATTTTCAAATGGTTGCTAACTGTTAGTAGTTGGGAGTTACATAAAATGTCTCAGGCTTTTGGCTAAAATCAAGTGTAAAATATCTAGTAAAAACAACAAGTTATCAATGGGGCATTACTCTGTCACCAGTCATAAAAGGGATCCATTCTGTTCTGAAACATGAAGCCAGTGTAGTTTGATGTCAAACTTGAATTTTCATGATTCTTTCTTCTTATTATATAAACCACTCTTCAAACAATACATTTTGAAGTGCTAATTACTTCCTTTAAAAAATCATAACGCCACATCCTCTAAAGATGACATATGGCTATCCTATGATCCAGCCATTTGTCCCTGGGAATGCCCCCATTCCGGGCTACCAAATGCTCTGAATGTATTCGTATCAGCCTTGAACTGGAAACCACCCAAATGCTCCTCAACAGTAGAATGGATACGCACGTTATGGCACACACATACAAGGGATACTACTCAGCAATAAGAGGCAATGAACTATTGACACTTGCAACTACCGGGATGAATTTCAAAAGCATTACACTAAATGGAAAAAGCCACACTCAAAAGACTGTAACTGTATGATTTTAGTATGAGGTTCTAAAACAGGCAAAACCAATCCAGGGAGATAAAAGTCAAGGAAGTGGTTACTCTCGGGGGCATTGTGACTTGGGCGGGGGGCAGGGAGGGGATTCTTTTTCTTGATTTGGATACTGGTTACATGGAGTTGTTCAGATTGTGTGAAAGTACATTAAGCTGTATAGTCATGATAAGTGCACTCTTCTATGTATATATGTATATATTTTTCATTGCAATGCATTTTAAGAGGGTAAAATCTTGGGGCGCCTGGGTGGCTCAGTAAGTTGAGCACCCAGCTGTCGGTTTCAGCTCAGGTCACGATCTCATGGTTTCATGAGTTCGAGCCCCACGTCGGGCTCTGTGCTGATGGTGCAGAGCCTGCTTGGGATTCTCTCTCTCCCTCTCTCTCCCTCCCTCCCCTGCTCACTCTGTCTCTCTCAAAATGAATAAATAAAACTTAAAAAAAAATTTAAAAAGAGGGTAAAATATTTTCAAAGAGACTTATTCAATGTGTTGAAGGGGTGCTTTCTGCACAAGAGATGAGTTTAGGCTGTTTATGGACATGAAATGAAATGGCATGAACCAACTGACATCTAACAAGAAAATGATCTGGTTCTAATCGTGATGGTGCCATCGAGAAAGGCTCAGTAAGTAGTTTGATGCTGTGTCCTAAATGCCTCTCTAACCTTGCTTAGAGCAGGTCTCAACAGGCCTCAGTGTCTGACTAGAAGTGAATAATATATTTTCATTGTATTTATTTTTAAGATGAGATGTTTTGGGGGCACCTGGGTAGCTCAGTTGGTTGAGTGTCAGACTTCGACTCAGGTCATGATCTCATGGTTCATGAGTTCAAGCCCCACGTCGGGCTCTGTGCTGACAGCTCAGAGCCTGGAGTCTGCTTCCAATTCTGTCTCCCTCTCTCTCTGTCCCTCCCCGCTCATGCTCTGTATCTCTCTCTCTTTCAAAAGTAAATAAACGTTAAAATTAAGAAAAAAAAAATGAGATGTTTTGTTTTCCACGGTCAGTGGTGAAAGTCTTCTAAAAATTTTGATAGGAAATATTCCAGGCAGACAAGAAAATGTACAGAATACTTGTAACAAACACCTACATCCTCCCCACCAGCTTTGTCAAATGTAAGTATTTTTCTATGTTCACTGAAGATTTTGATTTTTTTTCTTTTTCAAGTGGCATACATTGCAGATGGCATTTGAAGCCACCTGATCTCACCCCAGAGACAACTTCATTCCTACATTTGGGGCTCATCATCCTCCACAACCCTTACACTGTCCTCTTTTTCAGATCTCAGGCGTCATGGGTTGAGTTAATTCCATTCCCTCAGCTCATTATTTTCCACAAGATAGCTCTTGTTTTACATTTGATTTATTCCCTTATGTCCCCATATCCCTGTCTCTGTCAGTGCCCTCTACTGGCAAACATTCACATATGTTCGAATGTTGAACATATTTTTTAGTTGGCTGTGCTCTTGTCGGATGGATACCATTGCTTCCTGTGCATGTTTTGTTTTCTTTTTCTTTTTTTTTTAAGTTTTTATTTATTTATTTTGAGAGAGAGAGAGCGCGCATGCAAGGGGCAGAGAGGGAGAAGCGCCTGTCAGTGCAGAGCCCGACACGGGGCTCGATCCCACGAACCGTGAGATCATGACCTGAGCCAAAATCAAGAGTCGGGACGCCTCACTGACCGAGCCACCCAGGTGCAAGTGTCTTCTAATTTATATGCCCATGACTGTGTGCATTCTTTTCTCGCTTAGCACTGATTTTAGGATCCACCCATGTTACTCTGGACACATGGAGTTCACGGTGTCTCATGGTTGCTTGGGGCACCCCTGGTGTGCCCCCTCCACGGTTTACTGTCTCCTCCCCAGTGAGGACACTCAGGCTCCTTCCAACCCCCCGCCCCCCCCCCCCACCCCCGTGAAAAATGCTGCTGTGGGCACCCTCATGCATGGCGCTTGGAGACGTACATGTCTCTTTCCAGGGAGAATGGCTGGGTCATAAATATGTACGTGCCAGATTGCTTTCCACAATGGTTGTCCCGTCCACACTCCAACCGAGAACTCATGAGGGTTCCTGTACCCTTCCGTCACTGCTGACACTTGGCATTATCCAACTTTCTAGTTTTTGCCAGAGTAATTCAGTGCCAAGTGGCACCCGCCATTACTTCAGCTCTCACTTCTCTTTACTACTGATGATTTTGAGCACCTTTTCAAATGTGTATGAGCCTTTTGGGTTCCCACTCCCCTGCACGCTTTCATGTTTTTAATATATACATAGATTTATCAATATATAGTTTTATATAACGATACACTCTAGACAAACTCTATCTTATATGTCCTTACGCAATTGACTTTTTTCACCTCGACATTATGCTTTCGAAATTTATTTTCATCACATACGTGGCTCTAGCTCATCCATTTTTTTGCAGCAATATTTCATAGGTTAAGTTTCCTTTCCAAGTTCATTTTGGCAACGATGATAGAGAACAATAGCAGCACAGAGCTTTGCAGTCCGTCTACAGAGTCTGAAACCTGAAGTTTGGGCGCTAAGGTCATAAGCAAAGGCTGAAATCTCAGGGGCTCCTTGGGTCAGCTGAGTAATGGAGGGCCTGAAATTTATGGGTAGGGCTGGGCAAGCTCCCAAGAAAGGGGGACTTTGGAGGCGGGTGGGGCCAGCGTGAAGTGTGGATGAGGCGGAAAGAAGAGAGAAGGCACAGGGAGACTAGGACGGGGTGTGAGATTGTGAAACAAGGAGGAAAGCACTGAGGCAGAGTTGTCAAAAGGTCCTTTGATTTTTTTCTCAAATTCATTGAGCACCAAGCACATGATCAGGCCAGAACTAAAGCATTAAGGACAC